CAAAGCCTTGGTGACCTGTGTAACAAGTGGCCTTACATATGCACAATAGTAAGGAGGGTGCACCAAAAACCAAAGATCAACTCTAATGATTAAAGCTCTGCATCTAGTGGGGGAAAAGGAACTCTCCTGCACTGCTGGTGGGAGTGCAAACTGGTGCAACCACGATGGAGAGCTGTGTGGAGATTTCTTGACCTACTAAACATAGAGCTGCCATATGATCCAGCAATTCCACTCCTAGGTATTTACCCAAAGGACACAGAAACATTAATTCAAAAGGACACCTGCACCCTATGTTTATTGCAGCACTATTTACAACAGATAAGCTATGGAAACAGCCCAAATGCCCAAAAATAGATGACTGGATCAAGAAGATGTGGTCCATATACACCATGGAATATTACTCAGCAATCAAGGAAGATAAACTCATGCAGAAAGAAAAAGAAAAATACTGGATGGTCTCACTCATAGCAGGAATTTAGAAAACCCAAATAAGGGATCAGGAAAAAGACTAATTACAATAAAGTAAAAATCAAAATCAACAGGCAACTATAAACCAGAGACACACTACAGGGGGCGGGGAGAAGAGAGTAGGATCAAAACAAGGGTGGTGGGAATTTCACTGGGACTATAACCAAGGTGAAAATGCATACATTGTTCAAAAATGAAAAATGATGTAAAAATATATAAAATAAAATAAAAATAAAAGAACTCCACATCTAAAAAAAGTATTGGTCCTGGCCCCAAGCCCATTTTATATACTTGTGATATGTAGGGGCTCTATGAAGATAGAACTGGGGCAGGGTGAACCTGCAGACTGTGTTGCCTAAATGTCTACTGAATATAAGTTGTGTTTATTACTAAGAGTGCCACTGTGGTCTGGAGTGGAAAATATAGGGTCATATAATCCAAATATATGAAAATGAGCAGATATATTGCACAAATTTTATTGAGATGATACAATAAACTTGACACTCTACGAGTGTTGGTTCCTTGCCCAAGACTGATCCCTTTCCCAACTCCACCTTCACTCCATACTGAACCCCCTTCCTCCTGATCTCTCCACCTTGGGGACCATCAATGGAGTAAGGCTCAGAGATAAGTTAACAAATGTTTGTTTCAAACAGTGAGTCCCCAATTAACATTATTAACCAGGCTCTTGGAAAATGCAACTTTAAGCACAATGATGTGTAAGGAAAGCAGTTCCTTGAATAATGTCTTTCACTCAGTCAACTGGGATTGTCTTTTTCTCATCAATGTCATAAAGAAATGTTGAATGAAATGACATTTTTCGAGGACATGTTGTATATTAATCGAAAATATTTGTTTAAAGTTGGAAACTTAGTAGATTGTTTCTTAAAATGTCACCACACCAAAAGGGCGATACTAAAATGCCACCTGCTACCAGGAAAATATATTGTCATGAAAGCTACTGGAAAGAAGTGTTTCCAAACTCTGGGGTAGTCAATTGTCCCCTGCTGATGTATACATTAAATTGAGCCCCCAAGAGTGACTGGTGACCTCAGAAAGAGCTCTCAGTAGAATGGAACAGAAGCCAGATTTCAGTGGTTTGAATGGTGATAAAGAGGAAATTAAGGGCATCCCTGGTGGTGCAGCAGGTTGAGCACAGTACTGTGAAGCTGTCGGCAGCCTCTGCAGCATGAGTTCGATTCCCAGCCGGTCAGGGAGAAACCCACATGGCGCAGCAACCTCTCCTGTGTTGCCTGCTGCTCCCCTCAGCAGTGTACTTCAGTCCTTCTGCCTGTTCTGCTCCCCACTCTGTCTCTGGTGAATCCTCTCACCCGCCTGCGCTTCTGGCCTGTACCCCAGCTATTGTATATATAAATCTTTTTAAAAAAAGAGCAAAATTAAGACAGTCAATATGGACAAAGGAGTCTTGCTTGAAGCAAACATGAAACTAGAAGGTGACTGGAGGGGGCATGTTGTTGAGTGAGTCTCCTTAAAATGAGAGAAACTTGTGTTTAAGTCCCTGCTTGGAACTCAAATCCACCTCTGACAACAGGATTTCCAGGCCCCAAGTCTGTTTGTATACTTGGACCAAGCCTTGATTCCTCTGAAGACTGTAAGTCAGGCTGCACACCCAGGGAAATGAGGCGGAGCCCTCTAGCAAAGGTTGCATCCCATTAAATTAAACTTATCAGGGAACCACTGCCAGTGGTGCTGTCCCAGGTAAGCATGTGGGGGGAGAGCTTGGTGAGTGGGGTGGAGTCAGTGAAGGTAGAACCAGGGCAGGGTAAACCTGGAGACTGTATTGCTTTACTCTCTGCCCCAGATGACCTGCCACTTTGGGTTTCACTAGCTGCTGAGAAGAGCAGGGACTGAGAGAGGAAGTGCCACCTGGCACCTTTGGACAATTGCCATGACAACCGCAGGCCAGGTATTTGACTTAGGTCATTGCCTGGGAGTGGTCCTCCTACGTGTCCTGTTTCCTGAGTTATAAGCTCACTGTTGTATTGCCCACCCCCCATCCGCCCTGTCTTGATCGTGACCAAACAAGATTCTTTGGCTACTGTCTTCCTTTGCTTCCTGGAAGGATTTGCCCTCAGGTGCCTGGAATATGATTTTTTATGTGCATGTGCAACACTAGAAAATTGAAACTGACCCAGAGAGGGAGGCTGCTGGCCAGTAGTCAAGGGCAGCGGAGGCGTGCAAGATCAGAGTAGACATAGACCAAGAACGTCTGCCTCTCCTGTTCCCAGCTGCAGAGCATCTCCCCCCCTTGTGAGCAGGCCTAGGATGCCACAAGGGACATGGACAACACCAGGACCAAAGTGACCCATGACCCCGTAGTTTCACAAGACAGCCTGGGCTCCTCCACGCCCTACTGTAGGGCTGCTGACACAGCCTTTACCTGAATCTAATGCTCCTGCTGTCTCCACAAGAAAAGATAGGTCTTGAATCCAGAAAGGAGAGACAAGGACTGTGTACTCTGAAGGAGGACTCTGGTCCTCTGGCTGTGGAGCTTATAAAAAAAAAAAAAAAAAAAGACAAGTGCCTGGGCTCCACTCTAACATTTAAATTCAATTGAAGGGGGCCTACCTGGTAGCACCAGGGGTTAAGTGTCAGCACTATGAAGCAATTTGCAACTACCGAAGCATGAGTTGGATCCTGGCCAGGGAGGTGGCCCACACGGTGCAGCAGACCTCTCCTGTCTCGCCCGCTGCTCCCCTCAGCAGTGTATTTCAGTCAGTCTGCCCGTTCTGTTCCCCACTCTGTCTCTGGTGAATCCTCTCACCCCCCGCACCTCTGGCCTGTACCCCAGTTCTTGTATGCATAAATAAATCTTTAAAAATAATAATAAATTCAGGGCCTCCCTGGTGGTGCAGAGGTTAAAGAGAGTGCTATCAAGCTATCGCCAGCCATTGCAGCATGAGTTTGATCCTCGGCCAGGGAGAAACCTACATGGCGCAGCAGACCTCTCCTGTCTCGCCCGCTGATCCCCTCAGCAGTGGATTTCAGTAGATCTGCCTGTTCTCCCCACTCTCTTTGGTGAATCCTCTCACCCCTCCCACCTCTGGCTTATACCCCAATTCTTGTATGCATAAATAAATCTTTAAATAATAATAATAAATTCAGTTGAGGGGGAATCAGGGCACTAGATTGTTTTCTGAAACACTTCAGGTGTGGAGAATCACTAGCTGCCAAAATGAGTGCTCAGGTTATAGCTTCCAATCCTGATGCTTCCCAGCGGCATGATCTTGGGCAAGCTATTCAGCACCTCTAAGCCTCCATGGTCTGCTTTCCTCCACGGTCCATGATTCCCGACAAACATTAGCTGCTGCATGGAGCCGTGGGATGGGCTAAATGAAATAATCACATCAAGGCCTTGGCACTGTACCTGGTCCAGTGGCCAAAATATTGTCTGTTGATGTGGTGGCTGTAACTACTCTAGGATCCCAAATGGAAGGTGCAGGGTAAGCGATTTTCAGGCTTTTCTGCCCTCCCGCCATCAGGATAGATGATGGATCCTTGCAGTCCTGAATGTATGCCTGGTGGCGGGCGCCAGGAATAGGGTGTGGGCAGAGGTAGATGGGATTCACCTGGGCTGAGACTGGGCTCATTAGGGCAGCATCACGGGGACGCCAGCAGAGCAGAGAAGCAGAACCACGAGAGCAGCAGAGAACAAGGCCACCAGAGAAGGCCGGAGAACCCAGGTAGAATGAAGATTTGCTGCCAGCCTCCCGGCACCCCAACCTGCTGTGTACCTGGTAAATTCCAATAAAAGCCTGCAAAAGTCACCAAGGGCTCCAGGACTCCTTCACCAGTCTGCTCAAATCATAGAAAACCTGCACTGTATCCATCCTGCCCCTAGAGAAGGTATCTCTGCGAGAAAGTGCCGCTTCCTGTGACCAGGGGCCCAGATGGTCCTTTTCCCAGGGTGCGGTTGAGGGGTGTCAAAGTGGCCCGAGGCTGGGCTGGTTATAAATAAATAAACCTGGGGCTCACTCTGGTTACCCTGATATTCTGGCCCCGCGCTATCCATTCTGAGATGATGGAAATGTTCTCTAGGATAGTCACTAATTGCATGGGGCTGGGGTACTTGAATGTGACGAGTGTAATCCTATTTAATTTTTCATTAAATTGAAATAGTTACACAGGGCTGAGAGCTGCAGTTTGCGTGTTGAGACTGAGAGCAAATAAAGACAAAAAATAAAGGAAAAAATAAGCCTTTGTTCTATCTCATTTGAGGTAGTCTGACGAAGGGGATACAGGTATTGCTATAGGTATTGCCCCTTTTCGCAGATGAGGAAACTAGTCTCAGACCTGTTAAAAGACCTACCCCAAATCATGAAGAGAGTTAGAGGCAGAGCCAAGGCCAATGAGATACAGATTTCTGGAAAGCAGATGCACACATGCCCGGTTGGGAAGTTTTCTCTCCATGGACTTTCCCATCAGCCCTCAGCTCCTCCAGAGACCTCCAAGCAGGCCCCCAGGTGGGGCCTCAGACCCCAGGTCTCCCCTCTCCTCGCCACGCTACCCACCTGGAAGAGTTCCTGGACCTGCATGTCCACCCACTTCTCCAACTCCAGCCAGCGCTGGAGGTGTCCTAGGTCATACTTCACTGTCAGCCGGCTGGGTCTCCGGGACCTGGGAAGTTTGGGGGGGTCTTTCAGCTCCGAGTCTGTAGACGATAGCCTCCTCCTAGATGAAGCCCACTGGACATTCTTACTTGCGTTCTCCGTGTCTGGGTGGGGAGATGTGCAGGAAGCAGGGCTTGAAGACAGCATGGAAGGACTGGCCTGGGCGAGGAGCTGGAAAAGCTGCCAGGGAGAGCAAGGGTGCCAGGGAAGTGAGGAGCCGAAGAATAGAGCGAGAGAACTGCTGGGAAAAGGGAAGGCAGGCGGGAGGGCCATGGTGCTGGGAGGGGCAGGGGTCAAGGATCAACAGGCCTTTGTCTGGTGCTGGGAATGCCAGCTTCCTGCCTCCTTGTTACCAGTGAGTGGCACTCTGGAGTCATGCCCCAGCCTCCTTCCTACTGCTGCTGAACAAAGGGCAACAGGGTGCCATGCCTCCTCCTGATCCTGAGGGGTGCAGGGCTCTGGCTGGTGCTCTACAGTCCTATCCAGATTAGGGCCCAAATCACACTCAGCTGAGAGCCCTGGGCTTCCCACTTGCCTGAGAGGAGAGCCCCTGGGTCCTGAGGAGCTGCGGTCAGGGGAATCCTGGGGGATCAGGGTGTGGCCGTTGGGGAGAGAGTCTCAGGATAGAGCCGGACAGATGGGTGCTTCTGGCCCTCAAGGGTCAGTGCCTGTGTCTGAATGAACTCTGCCCTTTGTTCAGCAGCAATGGAAAGGCAGCTGAGTGGGGGAGAAGAACTCCACTATCCACCAGACCCTGCTCATAAGACATGTCTCCCAGACCTGCTTCCAGAGGCAACTGCTCAGGAAACCATGTTTCTTACCACATGACCCTCCCCTGACTCACATCTTTCCTGACACGAAGGAAAACCTGCAGACCTAATTTACACCCAGGTGTCAACAATTAACATTATATATCTCAACAGACTTGTTTTCAAAAGGAAGGGTGTTTTTGTTTAGTCCTTTGTGAAAAAAATGTCTAAACATCTTAGAAAAGTTACAGAATAGAATGCAATCTTTTTTTAAAAGATTTATTTATTTATTTGTTTATTTATTTATACAAGCACTGGGTACAGTCAGAAGTGCAGGAGGGTGATTCACCAGAGCCAGAGCGGGGAACAGAACAGACAGACTGACGAAATACACTGCTGAGGGGAGCAGCGGGTGGCAGGAGGGGTCTGCGCGCCATGTGGGACCCTCCTCCGGTGGCCGGGGAGCAGCCAGGGATCGAACCGGTGCTGCAGAGGCTCCGGGCAGCTTCGCAACCCAGCGCTCAACTGCTGCGCCACCGGGGAGGCCCGGCATGTAGTATTTTGAGCCTAGGTCAATCAAGATCCTGCAGGCACATAAGAAACTTTCCATCACTCCTTTAACTGTCTGGAAGAATGAAAATTAGGGATATTACTCAGAATTAGGAATTTTACCAGAAATCCCCTTTCCATCAGAGAAGCCCATCTATATGGCAGGCAAAGGTCTAATTACAGAGCATCTGATCTTTGTCATGGGAGTTATCCCCTAGTTACAAAAGCACCCCGCTTGTCTCTTGAAGGTGGGGATCCCTATTCCCTGCCTCAGCTCAGGGTATGTGTACCTTCTTTTTGCCCCATCTATATCCATGCAGATTCTCCATACATATGCAATTAACTTTGTTCTTTTCTCTCACTAATCTAATTGATGTTAATTTGATTACTAGATCATGAGCCCAGGAAGAATCCTGAAGAGTAAGGATAAATTTCCTCTGTGCCCCTACCCCTTTATGACCTTGAAATTCTGTTTTGGGACCTCACTGGTGGCACAACGGGTTAAGTCTCAGCACTGTGAAGCTATCAGCAGCCTCTGCAGCTTGAGTTCAATCCTCATCCAGGGAGCTGACACACATGGCCCAGCAGACCTCTCCTGTCTCACCCGCTGCTCCCCTCAGTCGTGTGTTTCAGTCAATCCACCTGTTCTGCTTCCCACTCTGTCTCTGGTGAAACCTTTTACCCTCCCCGCACCACACCTCTGGCCTACACCCCAGCTCTTGTACGCATAAATAAATAAAATAAATCTTTAGGGGCCACCCTGGTGGCATAGTGGTTAAGACGCAGCATTGTGAAGCTACCCAAAGCCACTGCAGTACGAGTTAGACCCCGGCCAGGGAGGTGACCCACATGCGCAGCAGACCTCTCCTATCTCGCCTGCTGCTCCCCTCAGCAGTGTATTTCAGTCTGCCTGTTCTGTTCCCCACTCTGTCTCTGGTGAATCCTTTCACCCTCCTGCACCTCTGGCCTACACCCCAGCTCTTGTATGCATGAATAATAAACATAAATCTTTAAAAATATAAATATGCAAATGTCATGAATGCCTACCCAGAGACACAGCCAGATTAGTGCATAAAGTCTTTCGGAACCTGTTTCCTTATCTACAGACTGGGGGTTGGTGCAATGCTGCTTGAGCACAAAATATGGTCCTGGTGAAACTCAAAGGCACACCAGTGATTTATGCCCATCATTTATAGTGTGAGACTCCTTATTTACATTCTTCTATCTCAGCTCAAACACACATCTCTCTGGCCTTCGCATGTCACCATTCACCAATAAGTTTGCCCAAGATAAGGGAATTCAGACTCACGATAAGGTAAGAAGAATAAACTACCAGGACCACAAGGTCACATCAGGTAGGAGGCTATAAAAGCCTGGTCACCACTGGCCAAAGGCGAGGTGTCTGTCCCGCTCTCCTGGCCTGGAATGGTGGAGGCACAAAATGGGCAGCAAGCAGGCACACCCACCCGAACTAGGCTGTTCTTTTATACCGTTTCTGCTCTTATAACATTTTTTTAAATAATAAAACACATTCATTTTAGAAACATTTCTAAACTTTAAAACAGTAAAAATTTACCACAATCCTACCACACAAAAACAACCCATGCTAATTTTCTGGCAAATTTCTTTCTAATCTTTTTTTATATATGTATCTTTAACATAATTGAAACATACTATCTAGAATTATTTGGAAAACTTTTAACTACAACTATTCAAGAAATAGGTTTTTAAAAAAGACCTATTCATTGTATATAATTCTAAAAATACAGATAAAAGAAGAAATGTATAAATTATCTGTTTGGTATGCTTTTTTCTATTTATTTCATAAATATTTATTTGTTTAAGATTTTCAGAAAAGTAGATCATTTTGTAATATATGCATGCTATTTTGTGCCTTGCTATGCTTTGAATGCTTTTTATGTCATTAAGTGGTTTTGTGCATCTTCCAATACTTCAGAGTTTTAAAAACTTTGGACCATGACTTAGAGAAAGAAATTCATTTAATACCATAAGACATAACCCAGCAATTCCATTCCAAGGAGTCAACCCAAAGAACACAAGAACACTAATTCAAAAAGAAATCTGCACCCTAATGTTTATTGCAGCATTATTTACAAGAGCTAAGATATGGAAACAACCCAAATGCCCCCCAAACAGACAAATGGATCAAGATGATCTGGCATATATACACAATGGAATACTACTCAGCAATCAAAAAGACAAACTCATGCCATTTGCAGCAACATGGATGGAACTGGAAGGGATTATGCTAAGAGAAATAAGTCAGAAAGAAAAAGAAATGTTGAATGGCTTTACTTATATGAGGAACATAGAGAAACCAAAAAGAGGGTCAGGAAAAAGTCATGGATGCTCTAACAAAGGAACAGCTACAAGGATATTCATAGCAGCACTACTTATAATGGCAAAAAAATGCTAGCAATCCATTTTTTTTCTCTCCTGAGGGGAGAAATCAAGTACTGTATAACAATGAATAGTGATGTAAGAAAATAAATAAATAGGGCCTCCCTGGTGGCACAAGGGGTTAAGATGCAAACTAGGAAGCTATTAGCAGCCACTGCAGCACAAGTTTGATCCCCAACTGGCCAGAGAGGTGACCCACATGGCATAGCAGACCTCTCCTAACTTGCACGCTGCTCCCCTCCGCGGTGTATTTCAGTCAATCCACCTGTTCTGTTCCCCACTCTGTCTCTGGTGGGTCCTCTCACCCCCTCTAACCCCTGGCCTGTACCCCAGATCATGTATGCATAAATAAATCTTTAAAAGTAAATTAATTAATTTTTAAAATACAGGGCCTCCCTGGTGGCCTAGAGTTTAAGTCTCAGTGCTATCACTTCATCAGCCTGAATTCGATCCCCAGCCAGGGAGATAACCCACATGGTGCAGTAGACCTTTCCTGTCTCGACCTCTATTCCCCTCAGCAGTGTATTTCAGTAGATCTACCTGCTCTGCTCCCCATTCTGTCTCTGGTGAATATTCTCAGCCCCCAAACTCTGACCTATACCCCAATTCTTCTATGCAAAAATAAAAAATAAGAATTTTTTAAAAAGAAAAAATGTAGGGCCTCCCTGGTGGCGCAGTGGTTGAGCACTGGGTTGTGAAGCTGCCCGCAGCCTCTGCAGCGCCAGTTCGATCCCCGACTGCTCCCCGGCCACTGGAGGAGGGTCCCACATGGCGCGCAGACCTCTCCTGCCGCCCGCTGCTCCCCTCAGCAGTGTACTTCGGTCCTTCTGCCTGCTCTGCTCCCTGCTCTGGCTCTGGTGAATTCTCTCACCCTCCCATGCTTCTAACTGTACCCAGTGCTTGTATAAATAAATAAATAAATCTAAAAAAAAAAAAGAAAAAATATAGTCACTTTAATCAATGACTATTGAGATTAGTCACTAATAGTCTAGAAAAAGAAAACAACAGATATATTCTTTTTTTTAAAGATTTATTTATGCATACAAGAACTGGGCTATAGGCCAGAGGTGGGGAGGGTGAGAGGATTCACCAGAGACAGAACGGGGAACAGAACAGGCAGATTGACTGAAATACACTGCTGAGGGGAGCAGCAGGTGAGTCAGGAGAGGTCTGCTGCGCCATATGGGTAGCTCCCTGGCTGGGGATCAAACTCATGCTGCAGTGACTGCAGATAGCTTCATAGTCTTGAGTCTTAAACCCTTGTGCCACCAGGGAGGTCCCAAAGATATATTCTTATTTCTGCATTATCAAGAGTACTGGTGGACTTCTATTTAGATCATTAAAACTAAAAAAATAAGTACAAAATTTACTTTATGATCATTAGATCAACAAAACTAAAATTCATTCAGTAAATAAAACTTATTCTGCTGCTGCTTTAGTTATTATTATATTTTTTTTTTTTTTTTTTTTTTATAGAGGCATGTTTTTATTTATTTATTTATTTGTTTGCTTGTTTATACATGCACTGGGTACAGTCAGAAGCGCGGGAGGGTGAGAGAATTCACCAGAGCCAGAGCGAGGAGCAGAGCAGGCAGAAGCGAAGTACACCGCTGAGGGGAGCAGCGGGCGGCAGGAGAGGTCTGCAGGCCATGTGGGACCCTCCTCCGGTGGCCGGGGAGCAGCCGGGGACCGAACCGGCGCTGCAGAGGCCGCGGGCAGCTTCGCAACCCAGCGCTCAACCGCTGCGCCACCGGGGAGGCCCTGCTTTAGTTATTATTGACACATAACAAGACATCTCCAAATTCAAAGACTTAAAACAGCTGTTTATTTGCTCAAAATCTACAAGTTGGTAGAGCTCTGCAGGTGCAGCTAGTTTCTGATGAAGCAACTGATGGGGGCTAAGGATGCAATGTGGCACACATCTTCTAGAAGATGAAGCTTACTCTCTCCCTAGTTGCTCATCTGCCAGAGTCTGGCTCTCTTTGGGCAGCCTCTATCTCTTGCAAAGTAGTCAAACTTCTTTACAAGTGGTTCTAAGAGGGGAAAATGGAAGGCACAAGGCTGAGGCCTGGAAGTCACACTGTACCACTTCTTCTATGCCCTATTGGTCGAAGCAAGTTACAGATTCAAAGGGAAGGGAAATACATGCCACCTCTTGGTAGGAGAAGCAACATGGACAGGAAGGTGAGGTGGGGTCTACCATCTTTGGTGGAAATCTATCCCACCTACCAATAGAAGTCCCCAGACCACCAGTCGAGACACTCAGTGTTCCTTTTCTAGTAGTGGTGTTAAGGAGTAAATATTCTCACCAAATAATCCCCTGGTTGTTAATTGACATGGCAAATAAAAATGAAGCCTGCAGCACAAAAACAGACCTTCAAATTCACAGAGGGAAGGTGATCCACAAGGTCTACCAGAAGAGCACCTCCCTTTGGGCCTCCAATATAGAATTATAAAACCTTAGCATATGGAAATACAGGATGTCAGGTCAGAACGATGGAAAAGGACCAAGACTGGCAATTAAGAGACCAGAAATCTGGGCTGGCTTTTGCCACATACTAATTCTGTGTCTCTGAACAAATCAAAGACTATTCTGTGGGTCTCAGTTTCCTATATGTAAGGGGAAGGGCTTTAAGCTTCCAGGCAGCTCTGGCACTCTCTGACTCTCCCAAAACTGAATTTTATGAATCCATCCAGGGAACAAATGTACACAATGCAAAGACTTTCTTAGGGGTCACTGAGGGTCTGAACAGGTGAAGACCAGATAAAAACAGAACTGCAAGAGGGAACCTCAAGCCTGGAGCCCATCCTAAAGCTGGCATAGAGCCCAGAGCCAGGGCAGCAATGGCAACAGTCAAGAAGGGATGGGGGCCTCCTTGGTGGCCCAAAGGGTTAAGATGCAACCTATGAAGCTGTCCACGGCTACTGCAGCACGAGTTCAATCCCCGACCAGGGAGCTACCCACATGGCGCAGCAGACTTCTGTCTCACCCGCTGCTCCCCTCAGCAGTGTATTTCAGTCAATCCAGCTGTTCTGGTCCCTACTCTGTCTCTGGTGAATCCTCTCACCCCCACACCTCTGGACTGTACCCCAATTCTTGTATGCATAAATAAATAAATCTTAAAAAAAAAAAAGAAGGGAAGAGTTTGAGTGATTACTAGGGAAGACTGTTGAGACTCAGAGGTTGGCTGAATGTTTGCAGGAAAAGCCCAGCGAAAAGCAGGGGGCACTGATAACTAAATCCAAAGTGATAGAGACCAGGAAAGAACATGGAGAGAGGAGTCCTTTGTGATTAAATGTGATGAATGGGTGATTGTCTTAATATATTTCTCTCTTTATTATGACTCATTATCAGAATTTGGAAAATACTTTAAAAACTAGAAAGAAGAGGGGACCTCCCTGGTGGCACAAGGGGTTAAGCACCACACTATGAAGCAATCCGCAGCCTCTGCAGCCTGAGTTCGATCCCCAGCCGGCCAGAGAGCAACCACATGGTGCCACAGACCTCTCCTGTCTCGCCCCCTGCTCCCCTCAGCAGTGTACTTCAGTCAGTCTGCCTGCTCTGCTCCCCACTGTCTCTGGTGAATCCTCGCACCTGCCCCCACCCCCGCATTTCTGGCCTGTACTCCAGCTCTTGTATGCATAAATAAATCTTTAAAAATATATTTTAAAAAAAAAGCTAGAAAGAAGAGAATGTTAGCCCATATTCCAGATGAAGTTAGAATTGTAAGTGCAGTAAAACCCACTGTTTAAACGCTGACGTAATGGAATTGACCTTCCTGGACTTCAGTTCCCACACCGCCACCTAACTGCAACATGATCTGACAAGTAGATCACCTGTCTGAACCTGTTTGCTCATCTGTAAAATGGGGATAAAAACAGTACCTACATTCTTGGTTTGAGTATATGGAGCAATGTGTGGAAAGCATTTAGGACCAGGGTTTGGGCATTGCCAGTGTGGGTTTTTGTAATGGCACCTATGACAGATGTACTGATAATCCTGTGTAATGTAGTATTACAATAAAGTAATAATCTTCTGTTAGAGTTCTCCTGTGTGTAAGGAATTGGAGAGGCAGGAATCAAATCACTACAAAATGCTTTCTTCTGAGCAACTGCATAACAATCTGCTTCATTCCCAGCACAGCATCACTGTCCTAAATCCAACATTGCCAGGAGCTGTGGAAATAAGTAGAAATCCAGAGAAGGGGAAACAGATCCCAGAATCCCTCTCCCACAACCCCGCAAGATCCATAATGTGGGCACCTGGGGGATGTTGCCGTTCAGCCAGAAAAATGATGGAAGGGTTGGCTACAGGACCTCGAGCCAAAGTTGCTCTATAGGAGAAATTAGGAAGAAAGTTTCCACTGGGCGGGGGTTTGTTAAGTCGTCATGAAAAGGTGTGGAATCTCTGTCTCTTTGGAGAGCATTAATTGGACCAATCTTGCTCTGTAAGGAATGATCTTTAAGAGGAGTTGTCACTCAGGAAAAGCAATGAACTTCAAGGAATCCAGCTTCCGTGAAGAGCATTAATTCAGCAACTTTGGTGAGTTGGAACCTCTGGCTTCTAAGGATGCCATTTCCCTGGGGAGAAGTGGCCAGCTCGTGCACGGGAACACCCTCTGGGTGCTAGAGGAGCGGGAACCCCTGCTCCACCGAAGGGAGCAACAGAGCGCGGTCAGGGACTCAGCTGCCACGGAGACCAGACCCTAATGCAAACGTTAGAAGATGAGGAAGGACTTTTTTAAAAAGGAACCACTGCAGGTCAAGCAGGAAGCCAGGACGCCGAAAAGCCAGGACGCCGAGTTTCTCCCGCGGGCGGGCCTCCCGGAGCTGGCATCCCGGATTCCAGATACCAAAGCGGCCGCACGGCTTCTGGAATCTCTTCCCACCACGAAACATGGTTTTCCGACAGCTGGCGACGGCAGCGAGATCATTTGCATCGGACTTTCCCAACTGCCCTCTCTCTACCCCTCTGCAGGAGCGCGGGGCTGGGGCTGCGAACACCGGCTCGGGCCGGAGAGGGGCGGGGGGCAGCCTCCCCAAAGCGCCCGACCCGGCTGGAGGGTCCCGCCAGTGTCCGACGCGCCAGGGACCCTCGTGCGCTTCTGGGACTCGGGGCCCTCCCGCCAGGCGGCCCCTCCCCGGTGGAGCAGGCGCAGAAAGACTCGCGGGGTGCGGCCGGGGACTGGGAGCCCCCGGGGCCCCTTGGGGGACAGGTGGCAGGGGCGGGGTCCAGGGCCGCGGGCTGCGGGGCAGGGGCCCGGGAGCCGGGCCGGGAGGGCTGGGAGGTCCCCGGGCCGGCGCGGGGCTGGGCGGGGCCGGCGGCGCTGGGGTTAATGTCCGCTCCGCCCCAGCGCACTGACTCAGTTTCACCAGAAACTGCAGGGAGGCGGCGGCGGATGTCCAGCGCGCCGGAGCCTCGGCGGAAGCGGCAGCCAGAGCCGCGCAGGAAGCCGGGACCGGAACCTGGGCAGGCCGGCCCCACCCCGCTCACCTGCGCAGGTAACTGCGACCCCGGAGCGCGGGCCGGAGGCGGCGCGGGCTCCGAGCATGTTCGCCTCTTTGTCCTGCGCTCCTGCGCGTGTCCGGGTACGGGGGCCCCTGCGCCGGCCACCTGCTCGGTCGTCCGTCGGGCGACCCGATCGCGGGGGGGTACCTGGGAGGGTCGGATCCGCGTGCCCCTCTTCCTTTTTGGGGTGCTGGATGCTCCCCAGCCTTCCCCTTTACTCCCTCCCACCCGGGCCGCCGTCCTTGAAGTCTTCCCAGCTGATCCGGCCTCTCCTCCGTCCCCTCCCCTCTTTCAGGTCTCAGTCACCCTCGGAACCCAGAATCTCGCACTGTGAAGGTGACCCCCCTGGGGAAGAGGGCGACGCCCGCTGGGAGGACGATGGCCGGCGCCAGCGTCTCCCAGACCCGCATCTCTGTGGTCGGCGTGTGGCTCTTGTGCGCGCTCGGCCTCCAGGGCGCCGAGACGGGGCCGCCACCGGCGCCCCCTGGGCTGCCGGCGGGAGCTGCCTGCTTGGACCGCTTTACCCCCGGGGTACCCGACTTTGTGCTGGACACCGACGCCTCAGTCAGCAATGGGGCCACCTTCCTGGGCTCCCCAGCCGTGCGCCGCGGCTGGGACTGCGTGCGCTCCTGCTGCACCGCCCAGAACTGCAATCTGGCGTTGGTGGAGCTGCAGCCCGACGGCGGGGAGGACGCCATCGCCGCCTGCTTCCTCGTCAACTGCCTCTACGAGCAGAACTTTGTGTGCAAGTTCGCGCCCAGACAGGGCTTCATCAACTACCTCACGCGCGAGGTTTACCGCTCCTACCGCCAGCTGCGAACACAGGGCTTTGGCGGTAAGGAGCGAGGGTGTGGGCGTGCGTGTATTTGGGGAGGGTCCAAAGAGGGGCTGGTTATGGAGTCCTGAGGGAGGCGAGCATCAGCAAGGAATGAGAGAGCAGAGTCCAATTCTGCCCACTCCTCCTTAGAAGGAGGCAGTATAAGCAGTAAAGAACAGACTCTTTTGAGTGGGGAGTGGTGACATCCTAGAATTCAGACTCTGGCCTCTGAATTGAGGATGTTGAGTGGGCTGGTTCTCTGGTATGCGTGTATGGGAGAGAGGAGGCAGCTTCTCAGGCTCCCCCAGGGCCCTGGTATGCTGAGTCAGGGAGTGAATCTGGCCCAGCACTGGCCTAGGCACCTGTCAATGAGGCTGGTGAATGAGTCCCTTCCCCATGACTGAATCAAGACTCTTGGTTAGCATCTCTCTGCGTCCCTCCCCTCAGTGTGTCTTTTGGTGGTCTGGGGAAAACTTCCAGACCCCAGAGATTAAAAACTAAAGAATGAGCCCAGCCTGGGGTTGACCAAAAAGGGGAGAGGGTTGTGTTCATGTTGTGGACACAGTAGCCTAAAGGCTCCGGGTGGAGGTGAAGAGGGTTGCTGCGTGAGTCAGTCCACTGGTATGTATACCTGGTAGGGGAAGGATGTCAGCTGTTCAGGCAGGTGTGCAGGGGTGCATGCCAGCCAGGCAGGACTCTCCCTCCTTAGAATCTGGTAGCCAAGTTGTCTGCTCAAATGTTTACCTCCAGAATAAGGACATAGTGGGGGCCAGAGCGCCTCCTCCTTCCGGTGGCTGAGCAGTCAGTTGGAATCAGAGACCCTCCAGAGAACTTCATTCCCTAGTCTCTCCTGTTATGGCCAAGTGGGGCTCCGGGGTAGGGATGGGTCAGGACTGATAACCTCTGTTAGCACTTTACAGTTTACTGATTGCTCAGCCACTCAGCCTCTTTCTCAGGCCTCATGACAACCACCTCCAAAAAGGGTACTATTAGTAGTCATCCCACCTTATAGATTAGAAACTGGCTTCCATGTTAAATACTTTGCCCAGGATAACACTCCCCACAAATGGGAGACCTGGGACTCCAGGCAGGCCCTCCAGAAGTCCTGTGCTATTTTTCACACAAGATTGCCTTTCTGGTGGAAATCTGGCACTCTGACCAGAGGCAACAGATTGACAAAACCAGAGACTGGGGAGCCTAGGAGTCAGGACTGGGCTAGGACTGAACCTTGTTCTTGTCATAATTCTGCAAAGTGGAGAAAGGACTTTCCTCTCCAACCTTCTCCTGAGCCAGTCTCTCTTCCTGGTTAAGGGTCTGCGCTTCTCTCCTACCTGCCAGTGGCTCTTCTGGGTCACTGAAGAGAGTAGGATGGGGGCTCTCAGAGTCCTACTGGGCCAGGACCTGAGCCTGTTCCACAAGGAAGTAGCAGAGTGTAGGTGGTGATGACTCTAATTGACCTGAGCTGCCTGTGCCCTTCCTGCTCTGACAGAGGCCCCGTAGGCCAGCCCCTAAAACTCAGAGGTCTGGTCTGAGAGCTGAGTTGGACTGGGCCGAACCGTCTAGGGGACCAGCCTTCTTCATCCGGAAACCCCACCCCCCACCCCCAGACTGACCTGTTTGTCTCGAAAAGGGACTGAGTGGGGATTTCCTGGGGCATTTAGGGAGCTGGGTAGGGCTTGGACTGGGTGTGAGTGCGAACCATTTTCTGGGCATGGCAGTGCTTTGGGGAGTAGGGGGAAGCCGTGTGTCAAATCCATTCATTCCCAGTTGAATCTGGATAGAGGTTGGATGAGCAGAAGCAAATGATAAAGCCATTAAGGTATCTCGGGTGCCAGACTAAGGTAGACCTAGCTGGCTAGATGGGGAGGGAACTCAGGCCTTCTAAATCTTTGATTCATATTGGGTAGAAAAGTCCTCCCAAGCATGGGTTTGTTTGTTCCCCTTTTCCTGCCTGTAGCCAGTCCAGGCCAGATTCTTGCCGCCTCCTAAGCACCCTGCTTCCTCCTCTTCTCCCCTTCCTCTGCCCTTGCCTCTCTGTTGGAGGTGTGGCTTAGGGGGGTGGACTGAGTTTCCCTGGAGATGCCAGGAGGCCTGGCAGCTGGGGGAGGGGCTGACTTTTCTGCAACTTTGGCCCTTGCTCTAAGGGGTGGGAGGAGGGGAAGTAGTGGCTGGGCTGGGCAGGGCTTCTGCCCCTTGCTCCTAGGGGCTGGGGCTGGAAGAGGACCCTGTGGGGTGTCCTGATTTGGCCCAGGATCTGACACATCACTGGCCTGCCACTTCCACCCTAGGGGCCTGCCCTGCTAGCCCGCCTTTTACACAGGGCTACCAAGTTGTTTTTCCCCTTTCTGACTACTGACTACTTTCTGAAAAATGCAAGGAGGGAGAAACCGGCTCCTCTCCTGGTGCCAGCCAAGCCAGTGGACTAGGGGTTGCTTCCAGGCAGGCACTTTCCTGCTCCCCCTCTCCACTCCTGGTCCCCTTTTCTCTTTCTTGTTGGCCTCAACTTCTGGAAGAGTTTCTCTGAGAAAGCTCCCCATTCCCATCCATTGGCTATCACTGTGTGTCTTGGTCCTTTGACCTCTGTGATGACCCTCTGCGAGGCCCCCCTTGGTCTGCTTTCTCTGCCTCATCAAAGAGGAATCTCCTGTGACTCAGCCTGCTACCAGCTGTTCTTATCTCTACCTTCCCTTCCTTTGAACTTGCTTTTACAGATGACATGACTCTCTCTACAGCCTCTGTGGAGACCAGGTTGGCAATATCCATCAGAACTAAATGCACATAACCCTGTACACAATTGCACTTGTAGCAGTTCATTTTGCATACATACACATGCGTAAAACAACTTACCAGCCAGTCATTCACGGTAGAGTTGTTTATAATAGCAAAGAATTAGGAACAATCTCAATGTCTGTCAACACATATTATAAGTGGATACTGTCATGCTGTTTTAATAAAGACAATAAAGCCTGAGGCAGCATGGGTTTAATTCTTAACTAGGCAAAAAAGGAAGGAGGAATCTAAATCAAAAGGCCGGTGGACTGATTAAAAAATTGTAAATTATGGCACACTCATACAATAAACACTATGCAATTAAACAAACAAACAAAAAAGAAACTTTATGGCTTGCTATGGAATGATTCCAAAATATATAATGGGAAACATGAGAAGAACTTGCAAGAACTGGGGTGTAAGCATCACCAGAGACAGAATGGGGAGCAGAACAGGCGGACTGACTGAAACACACTACTGCGGAGGGGAGCAGCAGGCGAGACAGGAGAGGTCTGCTGCGCCATGTGGGTCACTTTCCTGACCAGAGATCGAACTTGTGCTGCAGTAGCTGAAGATTGCTTCATACTACTGACGCTTAACCCTTTACAACACCAGGAAGGCCCCCTCTTTTGAAATTTTAAAATTTTTATCATGTACATGAATTATCTAAGTTAAAACAAATACCCCAAGATCACAAAAGCAATCAAAATCACAGCTCTAGGTAGCCCATAAGTTATGGAGTCAGAACAGAGTTCAAATCCCATTTTGGCCATTCAGAAACTGAGTGACCCTCGGCAAGTCATTTAACTTCTCTAGTGTCCATTTTGTGATCTGGAAAGAGAGGTGAGAAGCTGGGCCTCCCCGGTGGCGCAGCGGTTGAGCGCTGGGTTGCGAAGCTGCCCGCAGCCTCCGCAGCACCGGTTCGATCCCCGGCTGCTCCCCGGCCACTGGAGGAGGGTCCCGCATGGCGCGCAGACCTCTCCTGCCGCCCGCTGCTCCCCTCAGCAGTGCACTTCAGTCCTTCTGCCTGCTCTGCTCCCCGCTCTGGCTCTGGTGAATTCTCTCACCCTCCCGTGCTTCTGACTGTACCCAGTGCTTGTATAAATAAATAAATAAATAAATCTAAAAAAAAATTTTTAAAAAAAAAAAAAAAAAGAGAGGTGAGAAGCAGTTGTGACAGGGCAACTAGGAAATGGGTCAAGAAGGCAGACCAGGAGTCAGCACACTTTCTGCAAAGGTTCATATGGTGACTCTTCTAGGCTCTGTGGGACTACAGTCTGCCAAAGCACTTAGCTCTGCTACTGTGATGTAAAGCAGCCACCAGAGTAGATAAATAGGCGAGGCTGTGTTGTGATTTATGGACACAAATTTTAATTTTATGTACTTTTCACATCATGAAATAGTGCTTTGATTTTTTTTTTCAGCCATTAAAAATAAAATATATTTGGTCTGTGGGTTATAATTTCCAACCCCTGATGTGGATGATATAGACAGGGCAAACCTAAAGCGGTTCTGGACACACACTCAATGAGCAGCACCTCTTAATAAACAAGACTCCCGATCTGTCTTCCGTCCTGGCTTTTCTCAAGCTCCCACCTGTGCCTCCATGGCCTGCTGATTAGTTCCCCTTTGGAGGGCTTTTCTCTAAGATAAGCCACATGTTCCCGACAGGTCTGGTTTCCCTTCCGCCTGTGCCCTGGCTCTTCCTCTGCAGTTCCCAGGGCCTGTCAGTTCCAGAAGCCTGAAGCTCTGTCCAGCATGTGTTCTCACAGCCTCCTTTCCATTCTCCCTTCATTCAGCTCATTCCCAGCGCATCTGCTGTGAATCTCCACCCTGGCCTCTTGCAAATAATTCCAAGCAGATGGGTAAATAACTTCTGCCCAGAGTTCAGAGCACTGTGCTTCCTGGGCCCTCAGCCCCTCCCTTAGGAGCTCCCTGACCTCAGTCATCATCCAGGGGGTCAATGTCTGCTGCAGCCGGGACTCACCTTCCTGTACCACTGACTGTTAAATATTTGAGTGTCACTCCTGCTGGGTCCACATGCCCTGGCCTGGCATCCAGGGACCTTTGAAGACTGCCCCAGCCCGGCTGGTCTCCTTAATGTCCACCAAACTAACCCAGTTAATTCCTAATTCCTTGCTTTGGCTCACTGTGATTTCTGCTGTCAACAACAACACAGCACATTTTCCCCCATAACCAAGATAATAAAAAAAATCCTCCTTTCCCCAGAAGGCCTTGCCTTACTCCTCTAACCTTCCTTCTCTGAATGTCCACGTCCTTGCCTTGCACACGCACCTTCGTGGGTCTTTTCTCCCATGTTGCTGCATGGTGTTGGGTCTTACGTGCCCAGCTGGACTGTAATCCCCTCAGGGCAGTGTATTAATTTCTTGTGGTTGCTGCAACAAATTACTTATTACAAACTAAATGACTTAAAACAACAGAAATGTATTGTCTCACGGTTCTGGACGTCAGAAGTCCAAAGTCCAGGTGGCAGGGCACACTCCCTCTGAAGATGCTACAGGAGCTTCCTTCCCTGTCTTTTCCACTTGTGGTGGCTCCAGGCCTTCCCTGGACTGCAACTGCATCCCTCCCACCTCTGCTCCATCTCCACAGGCACCTGCTCCTTCGCTCTCTACCTTCTCTTCTGTCTTTCATAAAGACACTTATCCTTGGATTTAGGGCTCACCCAGCTAATTGAGGATGAGCTCATGTGGAAATGCTTAACTTAATTACTTCTGCAAAAAGAAATTAAAAAAAGGTAGAAAGAAAAGGGGCCTCCTAGGTGGCACAAGAGGTTAAGACGCAACCTATGAAGCTATCCATAGCCACTGCAGCATGAGTTCGATCCCCCGGCCAGGGAGCTACGCATATGGTGCAGCAGACCTCTCCTGACTCGCCCGCTGCTCCCCTCAGCAGTGTATTTCAGTCACTCTGCCTGTTCTATTCCCTACTCTGTCTCTGGTGAATCCTCTCACCCCGCCCACACCTCTGGCCTGTACCCCAGTTCTTGTACACATAAATCTTAAAAAAAAAAGGAAAATTAAAAATAAACAATTACTTCTGCAAAGGCCCTATTCCCTAATAAGATCACATTCATGAGTTCTGAAGGTGAACTATAGACATGCATTTTGGGGGGCCATCATTCAACCCACTATAGTGAGGAACCCTACTTTGTACTTGTTTCTCAGTCCCTGGAGGAAACCTTAGTCACAGACACTTTGAGATTGAGGGAGGGCATAGATTTGACTTTTCAAAAATGTTTAACTTTTAAAAGCAATTAGAACAAATGCCTGTAATTGCAGGAAAAAGGCAGTAAGTCCCCCCACCCCCAAATATAACAAATACAGATATGCAGTATTTTCCTAAATAGGATCAGATGGCATGTTGTCTTCACTGCAGACTTTTCCAACGTACAAATGTCTTCAACATTCCAAAGATAAAATATATCTGAATAGAAAGCAAGAAGCTGGCTTATTTGTTTCCTCCCGCCTGAGTCCAGGTCGGTTTAGATGGGGTCTGTTTTGCCTCCATCCCCCAGGAGAGATCTGGGCCCCTCAATGAAAGTTGATCTTACCTCACTGTAGTGCCAGCAAGGCACGGAGCAGGTTCTCTGTGTGTCTGGGCAGAAGGGTAAAGGAGGAGTCCTGGAGTCCTTGGTGGCTTTTTCAGGCTTTTAATGATCTTTCCACAGCAGTTGTAGTGCGGCAACCAGGTACACGGCAGGCAGCGAGGGGGCTAGGGGCTGGGAGGCCTCCCAGCCCCCCCGGGAATCCTCCCTCTTTCTGGGCTCCCAGGCGTTCTCTTTGTGGTCTCCTGACTGGTCTTTACTGCATTCCATCCCACAGTCCTCTGCCACCACACTCTGCCCTCTGCTGCTGCGCTCTGTTCTTCACTCAGTCTCACGGCTCAGGTGCGCCCGCGTGCGCGTGCCCACACCACACTCCAGGTGCCGCCATCAGGCACGCGTGTAAGACCACAGGTGTGAAGCACTGATGTTAATGGCAGGACGGCGGAAAAAACCTGACAATTTCCATTTACCCTACACTCCCTTCCTCCCAGGGTCCGGGATCCCCAAGGTCTGGGCAAACAAAGACCTAAAGGTTCAGCCCCAGGAGCCCCTGGTGCTGAAGGATGTGGGAAACACAGATTGGCACCTGCTTCAGGGGAACTCACTCATCAGAATAGAGGTGAGCACTGGGCTGGCTCCCTGACACCCCACCTCAGCCCTCAGGACCCCCTTTCTTGGGCCACAGACAACCCCTCAGGGTGGAGTAGGTAATACCAAAGGCCTGTCTTCTCCCCAGTGAGAAGGTGTGTGGCTAGTAGGACCTGGGGCAGCCCAAGAGCATCAGGTTCCCCACTCTGATGGCCACTCCTGTGTATAGAGGAATAATCCGGACCAGGTGGAGCTGTGGGGACTCACGCAAGGCAGCTACGTGTTCCAGATGACAACCAGCTCAGACCAGGCAGAGAGCACGTCCAACATCACAATCACTGTGCTGTCTGCCAAGCAGACAGAAGGTGAGGGAGGGGACGAGGAGGCAGCAGCGGGAGCCATCTCCCTCTGTTGATAGGCCTCTCAGGCCCCCCTGACAAGTTTTCCTACCCCCAGACTACTGCCTTGCATCCAGTAAGGTGGGCCGCTGTCGAGGCTCCTTCCCCCGCTGGTACTACGATGCCAAAGACCAGCTCTGCAAGAGCTTCGTTTATGGCGGTTGCTTGGGCAATCTGAACAACTACCTCCGGGAAGAAGAGTGCAAGCTAGCCTGCCACAACGTGCAAGGTGGGCCCATGCATGCTTCGGGCTCAGGGTGTTGGGCGGGGGTTCTTTCTTACTGGTCAGGAATATGGGCAAGGACTCCCCATTCCCGAGGTCCCCCATCAGCTCATCCCTGCTGGGACCGGCTGCCTCTTCTCACTCCTGTTTTCTTTCTTCCAGGCCCCTCACTGGAAAGGCACCATCCAGGTGGGCTTGGCTCATTTCCCTCGTCCCCTCACCTCTACCGGGTCTCCAGCCCGTACCAAGTCCATGTCCCTGCCCAAGCTGCCTTTCCCCAGGCCCTTTATCCTCACAGTGTGTGGAAGGACCACAAGCACCCCACCCTTTGCAGCCCATCATCCTCCCAATAGGATTGGCCCAGTTTGTGTGGAAGGGGGGAGATGGGGTGGAAGGAGACCAGGGGCGTGTCATGATGCTGTGTTGGAGGAGGGGGGCTAGGTATGGGAGGACCCCTTGGTACTGCTGGCTTCTGCTCCAGCCTGATCTCACCACTCCTGCCATATCCTGCCCCGGCCAGTCCCTGTGTGCTCTGCCACCTGTAACCCCACCGAGTTCCGCTGCAGCAACGGCTGCTGCATCGACAGCTTCCTGGAATGTGACGACACTCCCGACTGCCCCGATGCCTCTGACGAGGCCTCCTGTGAGAAATGTGAGGCCTGGGAGATGGGAGGGTGGTGGGCAGCAGAGGGAGGCTCTGATCCCTCAACCTGCACCCCTACACCTCCAATCTTTCATCTTTGCAGACACCAGCGGCTTTGAGGAACTCCAGAACATCCATTTCACCAGTGACAAAGGTGAGATTCTCCCAGGTCTCCTGGGTCAAGGCAGATGCAGACACTGCCATCCTCACCAATCTCATCAGCAGGCCGAAGGGGATTCTGGTGGCCAGGGCCTCAGCTCCAGGGTCTCCCTACTTGCAGGTAGCTTGGGGAGAGGCCTAGAACTCTGATGGCAAACATGTGGCCCACATTGGCCCATACTTCCCTGGGTGTGCCAGGCTGTGGGCAGAAGGCCGGGGGGTGGGGGGGCTCAGCACTTTCCTTTGGCCGTATTTCCCAAGCATCAGTCATCCTCTTCACACCTTGCCCTGCCCACACATCACTGAGATGTTATTTGCTGAATAATTTTCTCTAGGAATGAATCAATTACTTTTTGACTTAATGTATTAAAGGAGGAATTTCACATCACTACCATGAATGGAAAGCCACTTTTACATGTCACAAATTGAGATCAACTATTAAAATAACTATAATAAAGCAATATTAACATATTCTAGCCGGATATCATTGCCCGCCAAGGCTCAGATCCTGAGCCTTCTGGGTTCAAAGATAGACCATCCTGTGCTGCAGAGAAAACTAAAATTTTGGCACAATCAGAAAATCTGGGAGAAAAAAATACTGAAAAAGGAATAGTCATGTGAGTCAGTGCAGTTTACTTGTGTGCCTAAGGCAACTGTCCGCATTTGTCTTCCTCAATTCTGGCAACACTGAGGCCCTTGCTGAGTGACAGCCGTGGTCAGTGGTGGAAACTGGAAGATAGTGGCAGGGGGCTGTGAACTCACTCTTCCCTTTGCCTGCTTTTGAACCCCAGGGCATTGTGTGGACCTGCCAGAGACAGGCCTGTGCTGGGAGAGCATCCCTCGCTGGTACTACAACCCCTTCAGCCAGACCTGCGCCCGCTTTACCTATGGTGGTTGTCATGGCAACAGGAACAACTTTGAGGAGGAGCAGCAGTGCCTTGAGTCCTGTAGGGGCGTCTCCAGTAAGCAGGGCGGGTAGGGAAAGGCTTAGAGAGAGCACTTGGCTCTGTCCCCAGGCCTGGGCTGGTCACACCTGGTCCTCAGAGCACCTGGAGTGGGGGTGGAAGAAGACAGCAGTGGCGAGTTTTGGGGATCTGGGGAGCAGCTGAGACTCCAAGCATTTAGTGTTGACTTGTCTCTCCCCTACTCTTTTTGTAGAGAAAGACGTGTTTGGTCTGCGGCGGGAAAGCCCCATTCCCAACTCGGGTAAGCCCTGGTCTGCCCTGTCACCAAAGAATAGGTATCAACTCCAGGAGCCACTCCACATGATGAGTTGGGACTCTGCGAGTCCTGGTTGAGGAGTACCCTGAGTGTCAGTCCACAGTGATCCCTGCCATGGGCAGGAGAGGGAAGCACAGGAAAGTGGGGGTCACATGTTTGCCATCACAGTTCCAGGCCTCCCCGCAAGTGACTGCAAGTAGAGAACTGGAGCTGAGGCCCCAGCCACCAGAATCCCTCCCACTGAACTCACAGTGGAGCCCCTCAGCTGCCCACATGTTGGGGTCCTTCCACACGTGCCCTGTTTGACTTGGTCCCTTTGACACAGAGTAGGAATAGGCATTAGAACCGAGGAGGCCCTGCTGGGGTTCACTCTGGCTCTTCAAGCGGCCCTTTCTTCCCAGGCTCCGTGGAGGTGGCCATCGCGGTGCTCCTGGCTACCTGCATTGTGGTGGTGGTGGCCATCCTGGGTTACTGCTTCTTCAAGAACCAGAGGAAGGGCTTCCACAGACACCGCCACCGCCGACCCCCACCCCCTACCCCCACCAGCTCCACGGTCTCGACCACTGAGGACACGGAGCACCTGGTCTACAATCACACTACCCGGCCCCTCTGAGCCTGGGGCTCTCGGGCTCGCGCCACGCCCTGCTTCCTCCTTGCCAAGATGGAGGCCTGAGCTGGGGAACATTTTGGGACTGGACCCCTCCAGCCTCTTTTCCAGGCTCTCTCTGCCTCCATGCCAGGTCTTCAGCTTCTCTCAGAGGTGTCTCAGCTAATCTGAGGTCACATATTCCTGAGAAAGCTTCAGGGTCTGGAAGCAGCAGAAAACCTTTGATCCAGGAGTCCCACAATAGATGGACCTGCCCGGGCTGGGATTTCCAAGGAAACTGGAGTTTTGTTTCCTGTTTAAGGCTGCCCTCCCCACCCCATGGTTTGGGAAGGGGCCTGGGGCAGTGTCAGAAGCAGAAGGGCCAGAAGAGGCTCCAGAACTGCCCTTCTTACTCTGAATAGCCCAGGGCTGGGGGGAGGCCATCCCTGTATATTTTGTGCTGTATAGAGTTGCTTTTTGTTTATTTAATGCTGTGGGAGTGGGAGAGAGAACTGGAAAGTGCCATGTGACCTCTGCTTCCTCCTAATCCTTTCCCCAAGAACGAGGCCCAACCTGGCCTGACCCACAGAGCCAGATCTTGGGTGGCCTCCTTCCCTCCACCCCGACCAGGCTCTCTAGTACCACATCCACCTGCTCCCCCACTTCCCACAGGCTTCAGTCCACCCACAATGTAATAAAATAATTTGTTCTGTGAGGCTCCTGCCTCTGCTGTATGGCCAGGAGGGGGACAGGGCTGCTGGGGGCTGATGGGATGCCCGTCCAACCGGTTCAGGCTTTGGCCACCCAGTTTAGCAGGTTTTCCCACCCCTTCCCGAAACTGTCCAGGCCCCTGAGGGAGGAGAGAAGTGCCAAGCTTGACCACCAGAAGGGAGGGGTGAGAGGGCCAACAGAGTAGGGGGCCCGGGGATTATTTCTCCCTGGTTTAAGCCTGTCAACAAGCCTGTTTAGCTGCTGGGGAGTCTGAACTGCCTGTGCAGTTGAGGACTAGGGGAGGGAGGGCACATAGGCTTGAACCCTGGGTCTTTTTTTTTTTTTTTAAGATTTTATTTATTTATTTATACAAGCACTGGGTACAGTCGGAAGCGCAGGAGGGTGAGAGAATTCACCAGAGCCAGAGAGGGAAACAACAGACTGACGATACACTGCTGAGGCGGCAGGAGAGGTCTGCGCGCCATGTGGGACCCTCGCCGGCAGCCGGGGAACGAACCGGCGCTGCAGAGGCTGAAGGCAGCTTCGCAGCCCAGCGCTCAACCGCTGCACCACCGAGGAGGCCCTGAACCCTAGTTCTTATCTCCACTCCCTTTGGTGTGGGGGACTGAGGACAGGGGTCCCATCTCGCCCAGGTGACCACTGCCTCCCCTCCCCACCCACAGAAGCCTTGACTTCACACTTTAGCTGCTGCTCAGAAGCCTTTACTTGCGTTCTCTACTCCAACCCCTACCTGTCCTGGTATATAAAAAAAATCCTTTTAATTTATTTATTCAACAAATAAGTTATTGAGCTCCTGTGTGCCAAGCACCACCAAGCACCAGAAATTCAATGTTGTAGAGATAAGCACAGAGGAAGCACCACGTAAGCACTTTATAGATCTCAAGTTATTGCTAGACACACACCCTGTGATGAAAGTACTATCACTCGCATTTTATAGTTGAGGAAACAGACTCCACCAAGTTCAGTTCCCAAGGTCCCAGACCTGGTACTGGAGGACCAGGGTCAAACCTTCACGTTACAGCTCTTGACGGTCTAGTCTTACAAAAGAGGTGCTGATGAATGTTATGCAGAAAAATAACCGATTTTATATGGTCCTTCGGGGTTGGGGGGCTACTTTTAAACAGGAGAGCAAGCTAGGAGAATGTATGTGTGGGAAGTCATCATATATAGCCCAATGAACTTCCCCATCTGCACACACCTAGGAGGCCAGCACCCGATCTAGAAGCAGAACCTCATTAGCACCCAGGACAGGCTCCTTTTGGTGGGTCACACACCTCTGCTTAGCCTGCTGTACTCTTGGACTGGACCACCTCCCCTCTCGTCTTTCAGCATATGCTCTGGTTCATGGTCATGAAATCCTACCCCGCACATAGCCAGGTGAGGGACATGAGAATGTAGATGGGATTCAGCACAGAGCACCCCCTTTTCCATGTAGTTACCTGTCTTCCCACTGCTGTGAGCTGGAGATGCAGATGGCATCTTAGTCATCCCTGGGTCTCCAACACCCATGCTCCCTCTGTGACCTTAGTAAATGGCAGTGGTTCACTGAATGTTGGATAGATAGCAGTGGGTGGGGCTCCTTGCCCTACATTAGCAGTTTCTATTTCCTAGGACACTGTATTTATGTTTCCTAGGTTGCCAACTACTCATCACGCTCCGTCTGGTTTCCCCAGCTCTGAAAACTACCCTCATTATCCCTTGGTTTGCTATCGGCTGATGTGATTTATTAAATTCTGTATTCCAATTCCTAGAACTGTGGTCAACACAAACTAAGTGCTCAGTCAATGTTTGTCAAACCAAAAGGAACCTCCCTCTTGGGGTTAGAGATGAAATGAGATGATGCCAGACAAAGCAGAGTGCCAATCCTAGGAGCTTAAGGGAGTAGTGGCTGGGTCAGTTGCTGCAGGGGGTAGGTGGGGCTGCAGGGGGTAGGTGGGGCCGCAAGGGGGCGCACTCACCACCCTGCCCGATTGGAGCAGGATACACAATCCCAGGCGAGCAGGGTGTGAAGCAATGAAAGTTACGACTCAGCCCCTGCACTCCTGGAGGAACACTCTGGGGTGCAGGCCGAAGGGATGCAAATACTGTAACAACACTATGGTCCCCCAAGCTGCCGCTTGTCTCTGTGACTTCCCCAGCTGTCCTCAGCTCTATTCCTGCCAAATGATTCTTTCTCAGAACTTTCATGCCTCCATTCTTTTCTGCATAGGCCATACCTCACATGCCTCTCTGCCCTTGGCAAGCTCCCATTTACCCTGTGGTTTAACTCAAAAAGTCTCCCCTGTTGTTCCAGTCAGAGTTCATCTCTGCCCTCTGTTCGCCAGGCTGTACACAGCCCTGCTGCATCTACTAACATGTGGCCCATGTTAGTATATACCTGCCCTCTGCAGAAGCCTCCCTGGGACAGGAGTGGAGTCTTACTCATCTCAGATTCCCCCATGCCAGTCCTGTTTATGGAGACAAGTTATCCAACAAATGACTGTCGAATAAACCAGAGACTGGTAAAGCCATGGAGATTAAGGAGGAGGTCGACAAATGGCTTAATGGAGGTGGTATAAAATGAGACGGACAGATAGGTGTGGGTGTTCTGGGTATAACAAAGTCTTAGGGAGCAAAAGCTGGGCATCAGGGGTTTTGTTTTGACAGAACCAGCAAGCTTCTGAGTTTGGCTCAAGCATTAAGAGAAAAAGTTGGGAAGTTAGTGGGTAGAGGCCACATTAGTGGATACTTGGAGATCTGAGTAGGGAAGGAGTAATCCAAACTCTGCTTTATGGACAGTTGAGCTGGCCATATCACTGGAGATATAAGCCCAGAGAGAGGGAAAGAGGGAGGAAGTCACTAAGTGAATCAGTCAGGGTAACAACCGTTGTAAAGGACATGCCAGCAAAGGCTAGTTGAACGACTGCACGTTGGTAGCCTACAATCATGCTGTCTCACAAACAGTGGTTTACTTTCTTTAATTACCTAGCAACATTTGAAGATCCAGGTAACTTTGTTTTTAACAAAATCTACATTTCTAGCTTCTTGTGACAATTTGAGGGACTGGCAATTGGACTCTACATTCCTGCAGCGGTCTGGGTACTCAGATTGGGTCCTCTTACACTGGCCTGTCCACAACCTTCTGCTCCAAGGTGAGGTGCTTGCTGGGTTCTCTAGGTATTCAGCTTTAGGACTTTCATCATCTTATCTCTTATTACCCATCCTGCCTTCTCCATATTGGGGCGTTTTCTCCAAAATGTATTGGTCGCAACAGTTCAAATAAACAGACAAAAACTGAGTTGTTTCTCCCAAACCCATCCCTACCCGCTTAAACAAACAGCACTGAATGAGGAGTGGTTTGCCCTATTGCACAATATCACTCGCTTCCCCACCCAACCGCAGCTCCACTAAAGCCTGGGAAGGCACTTTAAAGCTCCCCCTGGGAGGGGCTGTCATCAATAGCACCACCTGGAAGTCCCAAACCCGGAAGCCCAGTTGCTGCTACCCAGAAGGTGGCCCAAACTCTCCCCCAGGCTCTGAGACAGCCACCTGTTCTTCCACCCACCTGCAGCGGCAGGGTGCAGAGGCAGAGCACAGAACCAGGAAGACCAAGAAAATAGATTGGGAAAGAATTCAGAGGCCCCATGTCATGAGGTTAAAAATAAATAACTAAGGGCCTCCCTGGTGGCCAAGGGGGTTAAGTCTCAGCACTATGAACCTATCAGCAGCCACTGCAGCATGAGTTCCATCCCTGGCCAGGGAACTGACCCACATGGCGCAGCAGACCTCTCCTGTCTTGCCCACTGCTCCCCTCAGCAGTGAATCTCAGTAGATCCACCTTTTCTGCTCCCCACTCTGTCTCTGGTGAACCCTCTCAACAGCGCCCGCCACCCCTCCACTCCCGCCTCTGGCCTATATCCCCAGTTCCTGTATGCATAAATAAATAAAAATGAATCTTAAATAAATAAAAAAAAGTGTTTGTTCAGAAAAACAAAACCGAAAAAAGGTATTTACTCAAATGTCCACCGTGTTATGTCTCATTGATAAAATGGCAGATGGTCTTTATTTTCTTCTTTTGGCCAACCTGCACTTTCTAAGTTTTCTAAAAGGAATATCTTTTGCTTTTGTAATAAGAAAAGCTTATTCTTTTGGAAAGGTTTTCAGACATATTTAAAATATCCTTAATATATTTACATTTAAATCAGATATGCCTAAATAAATACGTTTTATATTTAATTCATCAAACCATGAAACTCTGTAGGCCTCCTTGGTGGTGCAGGGGCTAAAGTTTCAGTGCTATCAAGTTACTGTCAGCAACTGCTGCATGAGTTTGATCCCAGCCAGGCCAGGGAGCTACCCACATGGCACAGCAGACCTCTCCTGTCTCTCCCGCTGCTCCCCTCAGCAGTGTATTTCAGTAGATCCTCCTGTTCTACTCCCCACTCTGTCTCTGGTGAATCCTCTCACCCCCCCCACACACACCTCTGGCCTGTACCCCAGTGGGCCAGAGACAGTGGGGATAGACTAGGAAAGGGAACTTTTGGACATCTGGAGAGGGAGAAGCCCCAAACATGGTAAGTGGACTCTGGGGAGAAAGAGCCTAAGTCTGCTGAGCCTGCAGGTTTTCTGTCCTGGGAACCTGGCCAGGTGTCAATGCCACCAACAAAGCAGAGCCGAATGGAGCAGGAACAGCTTCCAGAACTTGGCAGAAGGTGTGGGGACACCAGCATCAAATGGTTGCTTGGTTTTTGTTTACTCTGCCTTGCTTTACTTTATGATGGATTTAAAGGCAGTTCTATAGGGCCTATAAAATGATGAAGTAACATGAATATAAAGTAGGAACAAAATAAAGAAGAGCAAGAAGGAATGTAAAATAGGACCAGGAACTGGGAAGGAGGCAAAACATAGTTTTGTAGACTTTGGGGCTTCCACTTAACCCTGTGTGTGCCAGGGAGGCTGTTTCCACATGATGTCTAGACACTCTGCAGGTGACGGGT